AAATTCACAAACTGTGCTTCCCAGGCGGGATGTTTGCACCAGGTCACATGCCTACGCATGTGCATGGGGTGGGGCACAGTTACTCAGTCTGGTCAAAGGAAAGGCAGGATGGGTATGCCAAACCTGGCATAGAGAAATAGAGAGCCCAAGAGATACTTGGCATGAAGTTTCCTCTGAAAACAATACAATCAAATGATTCAGAAGGCCTGTTCCTGTGGGGCCTTGTACAGAATGGCATAGCTCCCCATTTTACAGATGAGAAAACAGAGGCCCAGAGATGGGGTGAGCTCAGCTGCGTGGACATAATCAGGATCACCCAAAGTTGTGTGGAAGGTCAGAAAAGTTGCCGGTGTCTCACAGTGTGACCACGACATGACTGTGCCATAAAGCCAGGAGGTGGTGGTGGCTCTTAATCAGGGCTCTCAAACTGACGGTGTCCCTGTGTGTAGTCCCGGTGGGATTGTCACCAGACCACCAGTTTAACCATGCAAATTCGGATTCACTTAGAACTGATATTTCAAAAGAGATAAAGTAGCTAAGACCTAGTCACAAAATAGGGCACAGTCTGTGGCTTGAAAGCATGGGTCAACCCAGCTTTAAGACGACATTAAGGTGGTAACTCTAAGTATTTCTAGAATTACAGGACACTGGGTAAAGTGTTAAAACAGCAACAGCCAAGATACCGAGTGTCTTCATAAAGACACACATGAGATGCAGTTGGATTAGGGCCTAAGGAGCAGATGGGGGCTAGCTAGAAGTCCACGTGTGACATTCACCTCAGATCAAGGAGTACCTGGAGAGGTGGTGTGCCCCTCAGGTCTCCAGCTACGGCGCAGGTCCTCAGTGCTGCACCCTAAAATCCATCAGCTCTCACTCAGAGGCCATCTGCTGGCTCCACCCAGCGGCGGCTCTTCAGGGCCCCTGAGATGGGCCTGTTCCCCAGAGACATGGACCCACCCACGTGCCTTTGGCTTGAGGACCCCTGCCAGCCCTGCCCGCTCCCAGCACTGCACTGCAGTCTGCATGTGCCCCTCCTCTCCCTCTGTCCTGCCGCAGGGGCCACCCTGCTCCGCCACCCTCCCATTTCCCTCTGAGCTGCTCACCTGACTGATTCCACCTGGGCATCTCCAGGGACCCCAGCAGGCCTGGGAGGCCATGCTCGGTCCCTGGGGCTCCACTGCTCAGAGCAGTTGGAGCATCTTCCCTGCAGTGAGGGCCTGAGCTTCATGTCTCTAGTCCAAGTGGTTTGGAAGCCCAAGAACCACCTGCTGCTACCTCCCCAGCGGGCTTGAGTGTGTCATCCGAGCTCCCGGCTGCTCCTTGGCATCATGCCAGAGAGCCACAAAGTGGAGTCTGACACTCCCAGCCAGGGTGGCCTGGCGTGTTCTGATAGGGAAGGGAGCCCCCTGAGCAGCCTCCTGACCCCCTCCTCATCCTGTGCTGCTAACTGAGCCTCCTCGGGGTCAGTCCATTCCCCGAGCCTTGAGTCTCCCCTCTCTCCTCTCTGCAGGGCTGCTGATGGTCTGTATAGTGATTGGTGCTCGAAAGCTCGGGGTCAACCCAGACAACATCGCCACACCCATTGCAGCCAGCCTGGGAGACCTTATCACGCTGTCCATTCTGGCTTTCATTAGCAGCTTCTTCTATAAATACAAAGGTAGGGGGCCCCAAGGAGGAGGGGCTGCCAGCAAGGCTGAGCGGGAAGGTTTGCATGTAGCTACGACATCCAAATTGGGCGCCGCAGGAAGGAACCTACGGCTCTAGGGTGGAGTCGGCGATCCTCCTTTTATAGAAACAAAGCCTGGAGCCACTGAACAAACCAAGGTGCTCTCCAGCAAGTTCCCCGGCTCCCCCAACCGTGTCAGCGGACACCCAGGGTGTCAGTTACCACCTTAGACCAGGGCATGCGAGGAGGCCAGGGGGGTCCGGGGCTGGTCTGGCCACTTCAGCGCAGTGACAGTGCCTCCTTGGGGAAGGCAGTCACGCTGGGCACATGTCAGATGCCCGAGAAGTGTCCCGAGGAGGAAGGTCTGTCATGGGCGGCAGCAGCACATGCTCTCCCTGCAGGTGCCAGCCAGGGGAAGCCGGCCTGGCAACCTGCTCAGCAGCTGAGGGAGGAGTTCGCACGTCTTATGGCAACAGGCCCTCACTCCACCAGAGGTCCCCCAGGGCTGCATGAAAACAGAGTCTGCTCAGGCCCTGGGCAGTGTGGCCAGGCAGCGTCACCCAGGCCCAGGGGTTTTCCCTTCCGGGTGTCCACAGCTGACCACTCCCTTCTGAGTGCCACACTTTTTACTTTCCGCCTGGCACAGTCTCGCTAAGATGGTTGCACACAGCTGTTTGCATCTAGTAGGTGTCGGTTCCGGGCCCAGTCAGGACCCTGGGTGCTCGGGGGCGGGCAGCATAAATGAACGGAGTGGGTGGTGATGAGACGGTGGGGAGGCCGGGGCATGTGGGGCAGTTGGTGGGAGGAGATGCCCCAGACAAAGGAGCAGCACAGCGGAGCTCCAGCTTATCATCGCCTCGTGGGAACACACAGCCAAGCGTTTGAGATAGCACCCCGTGTTCATCACGTGTTGGCAACGGAAGCAGAGCAACAAAAACACTTCCGCTGTCAGGTGTTCAGGCCCGGGGAGCCTTTCTCGGCTCTGGGCTGGCCCCTGGCTACCTTGGGAACTGCCTGCCACCAACACTATTTAATGACTTGGGAGGTTCTCAATGTTCATGTACATGATAATGAAGAGTTAATAATAAGATGACTTCATTTTATTTTTAAGCCAAACTGAATGTAGAAGAAGATTTGTGTATGGGTTGATCCTGTTTCATTTGCAAAATTAACACAGGTCACAGGTGTCCCCAGAGCCTTCCGCTTCGCCCCTGCTGTACCCTCCTGAAGTAGTGGGTTCCAACACACGACTCATTAGATGTTGCATCATTGTTGCATTGTCCATCTCTCCAGTTGGACTGAGTTTATCTTGGGTGCACTGGGCAGGGTGGGGAGTGGGTCGCTGGGCCTGGCACATAGCAGACACATCTTCCCTGACAGGGTGTGAGCCATGGACTGTCTCCCCTGCGGTGTAGTCGGGAAGACCAGCCACGAGCAGGGGCATGGAAGCGTTCACCACAGGCCTGCGGGAGTAGGAGGGGGGACCTCTGCCGAGGCTTCTGAGGAGTTCCAGAGACTAGACGCAAAGGTGTCCTGCTAGCAGGCGCCCCTGCAGGCTGCTGTCTCCCAGACTGTTTGACACTGGCTTCGATCTCACTGGGTGGGAGGAGGCAGGGGAGGGTATTTATGTCAGGAAAATAGCAAAACCCGAGAAGTGAGAGTGAAGGGGGCAGGGCCTGAGGACAGAGAGGAGCTTTTCCATTGCTTAACAGGATGAGAAAATGCCTGGGAAGGTGTGGTAGGACAGTCACCTGAAACTGATGAGGACGGGAGCTTCTCCTCACACCTCTAGAGCCTTTAGTTCCCAGCCCGCCTCATCTCTGCCACCCAGGCCACTGCCCACCACGCCATGCTGTGCTCTGGCTCTGCGTGCATCCCCTTTTTCCTTCTTTCTCTTCCCAGACAGTCGGTTTCTGACTCCCGTGGTCTGCATCGGCTTCATGGCCCTGACCCCGGTGTGGGTCCTCATTGCAAAGCAGAACCCACCCATCATGAAGATCCTAAAGTTCGGGTGGTTCCCAATCATCCTGGCAATGGTGATCAGCAGGTGAGCAGAGTGAGGGTCTCTCCCCTCTCCCCTTCTCCGTTCCATCCCCCGTCTTTGTGTTCAAGAGAGTGGCCTGAGAGCCAAGGACCCCCGAGGAAGGGGCGCTCACTGCCCTGTGGCCATGGTGGGCGTGGACTGCAGCTGCGGCTCCTTCACTAATTTCCATGGCTGGTTGAGTCAGACCTCTTTACTCTTTGCCTCTGTTTTTCTTACCAAGAACCCTACACTTGTTTGTTCTGAGAGGCAGCCCTGTTCACATTTGCCAGGGCACCAGAGAGCCAGGAAGAGCCGAACCTGGGAACATCAGATGAGTGCGGAGTGCCATGGCGATGTGGGATCCCGCCTCTCCCGTTCCCCTGCTGCCTCAGCTCTCCCCGGCCTGGCCCCTGCTTAAGCTGCAGGGAGTGTCTCATCTGGCCTCAGCCAATGGCTCTGCAAACCCCATTTCCACAGCATGGCTACCTGTGGGACCTAGAGAGCTGAGGAATTGGTGCCTCTACAGCCAGGGCCTTTAGCTGAGCCCAGGTCTTCTACCGCTCCATCCTCAAGGGCCCTTTCCGCTAGCAGACCCTGAGGGGGCCACCCCAGTGCTTTCTGATGTGCTTTCCTAACTTTGACTCTCAGAGAAGAGAGGCTAGTGTAGGTATCTTTGCTCCTGGGTTCCTTACACAAAATGATTGCACTTCTTCAGGGCTCTTGGGTTGGGGCCGCCTTGGCTAAGCTACAGGGGCTGGTGGGAGCGAGGTCTCGCTGCAGCACCTTCCAAGAACAAGGGGCCGGAGATGACACTCGTGCAGGTTCGTTTTCTGCTAGGGAACGGCTCAGGTGCAGGTCCGGGGCTGTCACAAGACAGAGCCCCGCGAGCCGAGAGGCCTCAGAAAGGAGCTTATTGTTTGTTTTCAGTGGGCAGACACTTCGAGAACTGCGAAGACCAGACTAGAGATGAAAATGCATGTGGGAGGTGCAGGGCACACTGTGGAGACAGCCTGGCTGCAACAGATACCTTGTAGAGGGCTAAGGAAAGTGTTTGCTAAGCTGAAAAGACAGCCTGATAAGGCAGTTTGCAAGGACGCTTACAAGCGTAAACTCCAGTCATTTAACTGCCGTCTGCTCTCTCCCCAGTTTCGGAGGGCTCATCTTGAACAAAACCATTTCTAAAGAGCCATACAAAGGCATGGCCATATTCACGCCCATCATCTGTGGTAGGTATTGGCAATCCCTGTCACCTGGGCACCCTGGGCTGGGTTGGCCCCGCAGCCCCAAGTGGTGGGGGCTGGCAGCTGTGACATCAGAGGTCCACCCCGGGCCCCAGAGGCAGAGCAGGAAGCTGGCAGGCAGAGGCTACCGAGGCTGGTTTTCCTAACAGAAGAAGACCTCAGGGGAGAAGCCATGCCCATTGCTCCACCCGATCACCCCCTGCTCCTCACAGGCCACTGAGACCTGAGCTTCCCCACAGGCTAAATTCCATGCCTTGAAGGCACCCTGGAACCAACTCCGGGTTCTCACACCTGCAGAATGAATGTGGCCTTCAGAACTGGAGTGTTGGCCTCTCATGGTTTTTCTTTTATTTTAACTTAGATCCACTGGTGACATTACACGTAAAAATCTGGATTTCTGTTTTCTTGGAAAGCGAGGCTGTCACAATACTGGGTTTACACTGGGGGTAGGGCTGGAATCAGCTGCCACTGAGACAGGACCTGTGTTGTCCAGTTTGCCTCAATCCCCTCCATTCCCTGTTGTCTTTTACCCAACCCTTCACTGATGCACCTTCCAGGCTTAGGCCCTGTGGGTATTTGCGTGAGGAGCCCTCTTTTATCCAAAGCTTGGTATGTGTCGGTTTCTGATAAAGCTCTGTCATGGCACCAGTGGTCAGGGGAGCAACCAGCCATGAGGACTTTTTGCACAGTTTGCTTGATGCCCAGGCTGTGGCTTTCTGGGACTTCAGAAACAGGCTGCAGGGTCCTTGGGCCAGCCTCCCCGCAAGACGCACATTTCCGTGGGAACTCAGGCCTGTGTTCCTTGAATGTCAGGCCTGTGTTCCTTGAATGTCAGTCTGCACCTCGACAGAGTCCAACAGGGTCTATTCCCAGCTCAAGGGCTGGCCATTATACATGAGGACAGCAACAGCCAAGTCAGGCCCAGAAAGCCATAAGCCTGGGAAGATAGCAGTGGATGGCACCATCTCGGATACCTATAGGGGCCAAGCAAGCAGTCTGACTGAGTTAAGCAGGTAAGACAACAGCTAGGCAGTGAGGAGTGATGGGGAGCAGGGCCGTGTTCCCGGACTGGAGGGAGTAGGGCCTGCTCCGCTCTGGCCACTTGCTACCTGGTAGGAACTAAGGTCTGGAGTTGCCTGAGCTGACTTGTTAGGAGAAGCTGGGAATCTGGATTAAAGGCCCAATTTGTAGATGCTGCCAATTAATTTGGGTTATTTTTTAAATCATGTGTGGGCCAGGCAAAGTAGATCTGTAGCCACCCTCTGCCCACTGACCATTGCTGGCTTCGTCTGGAAGCCCGAGACGGTTGGTCTTTGCCCCCGGAGATCACGGGGACACGTGAGGTCCAGTAGGAGATTGTTCCCTGTGGAGCGGAGGAAATAGGATGGGGCAACCTGACTCCACCTCAAAAGGTGACGGTCACCCTCGTGGGCCCTGTTCTCTGCCAGCCCCAAATTCAGCCCCACTGACTCTCCTCCCTTTTAGCATGGCCCGTGTCACTGGGCCCTCTGCCACTGGAAGCCCCAGCTCCGCCATCATATGATCATCTCTCCTCCCTTACTGCTCTTACCATTGTTCTCTTTCCTGTCCTTCCTACCTGAGGTGAGAAAGTTCCCTTTTGTTTTCTCAGGTATTCAGGTCTGTTCTCTGGTTCCTGTCACTTCCTATGGCTTCAGTGGCTTATCAAGACACCTCCCATTGACCTCTCCATCGACTCTCCTCCCTCTTTCATTCTCCCTCCTTCCCTTTCACACTCCCTCTACCCAATAAATATGTATCAGGGGACCTACTTTGCAACACTTCCTTCACCTCAAGAGCTGCCAAGGTGATACAGGTACTACCTTGCTACCTCATTCATGAGGTCCAGGCCACCCTCGTTTGGTGCTAAACGAGATCTGAGGTGAAATGGGAAAGAAGGAAAAGAGGTCAGGTGTTGAATCGGAAGACTTCCTGGAGAAAGGGACGTTAGCATAAGGAACAGAACTCAGAGACTGGCATAACGAAGGGGAAACCAGGTTCTTTTTCTCCTCACAGGTGTGGGTGGCAATCTGGTGGCCATTCAGACCAGCCGGATCTCCACCTACCTGCACATGTGGAGCACACCTGGGGTCCTACCCCTCTGGATGAAAAAATTCTGGCCTAACCCATGTTCCACTTTCTGCACTTCAGGTGGGTCTTAGGTTTTTCAGAGGCCATGGGGCCACTGCTTTAAACAAGTAAAAATTAATGTCATTAGGACCTCATATTTGTAGCCATGATGTCTAAGACCAGTGCTGACATCAGCACAGATTATCATATGGAAAAGCTGCTGCAAACAGCTTGGATGGGGCTGCAAATTGGATGGGGCAGGGTGTCAGGGAATCCCCAGAGTGGAGCAAACAGTGTGCTCCAGGCTGATGGAGACTCAGATATGGCTGCCAGTCAGCCCTGCGACAGGGGAGGTCCCAGCACAGGAACAATGACTCTGTGAGCACCCCTGTCTGGGAGAAAGCTGCCCCTGAGTTCCTGCCCCAATGCCAGGCAGTCCAGTTCCTCTTCGTATGTGTCTGGGCCCCCCAGAGTCACTCGGTGCTGGAACTCAGAGGTATGGCGTCACCCTCCAGCAGCCTCTGTGTCTCTCAGCCACAATCCCCGCTGGTTTTTACAGCCTGAAGTTACGGGGACTTCTCTTCCCAGCTCTGGTAGCCTGGGCTGGGGGTTGAAACCCCTTGCTCCTGAGGGAGGAGGGATGGGGGAGGGGGAGGACAGGACTCCGCAGAGACAATCTCCCTCCCGATTAAAAACACAGCACACATGGGCGCTGGTCCAGCGGATTCTGCGCCTCCACCTCTCCTGCCAGTCTTAGTGTACTTTCTTCTTTACATCTGTAGTCGTAGGACTTCATTCAGCCAACTCTCAGGCGGTTCTGAATGACGGTGGTTCTGTATTTTAGTTGTAATTTTGATGTGGTTGTGGGAGGCCAGAATACAAGCATTGACCTACACTGCCATCTTGGTTCTCCTGAATTCTTTATGTAGCTTTCTATAAATTTTCTTGAGTTTTACGTCACTTTCCAATAATAATTATTTTGCCTCCTCCTTTTTAAGTTTTTTTTTTTTTTAAGAATATAACCTTATCTGATTTTTCATCATGAATAGTTTTTGTTGCTCTTCTATGGTTTCATTCTCTCTCTACATATTATTTTATAGATTTTCCAGTTTCCAAGCTACATATGACTTCATTCCTTTTCCTTAAGTTGATAAAATACATTCTATCAACTCATAAGCAAATGGAGGCTTACTTTTCATTGACACCCTTTGTGTGTGAGTCGTCCCTCATATTCACATGTTATAGTTTTAAAGAGAAGGGCAGGGGAAATCACATTGCTTATAGTCTCAGACTCATGGAGCACTGGTTCCTGAAAAGAGGGAATCACTCAGACCTCACCAATGTGGTGGAGGCCCCATGAGGGCACTACCCTCCCCGATCTCTAAGGATCACTCGTTTTTCAACACTCCCGAGCTTTCCACCTTAAGCCCCTTGCACATTCTCTTTCTGCTAGCCAGAATCTTCTCCCCCAGATTCAGATCTCAGCCTAAATGGCATCTCCTTGAGAGAGCTTCCAATTTCTGTAGCTCATTCCCACTAATAGACGCTCATTCTCTACCATATTAACCTGACCATACCCTGAAAATACTCTACCATATTTTCTTCTTAGTACTTGTCACAATTTGAAATGACCTTTCCTATTTGTTTCTGCTATTCGATTCCAATTTTTCTATCTTCTCTAAAATTCCAGTTCCATGAATGAATGGCTAGGGCTGTATTCCCCATCTGCAGAAATATGCCTGCCACATAGTCCACCAGGGCTGTGTGCGCTACTCCTTGGCACCTTCAGGAAGTAGCTGAATGAATGTGGATGCCCCACTAGAGACTGTCACGTGTTAAGCAGGTCACACAACCTCATTGGTTCTGTTTCTTCCAGAAATTAATTCCATGTCAGCCCGAGTCCTGCTCTTTCTGGTGATTCCAGGCCATCTGATTTTCTTCTATGTTATCTACCTGGTGGAAGGCCCTTCGGTTCCAAACAGCAAGATCTTTGTGGCGTTCTATCTGCTAGCAGGCCTGATCCAGGTAAGGACGATGGTAGCAGCAGCAAAGGAGCATTCAGTGGTGGTTCCCTGTCCTGGGAGAGATGCTGAGAAGGTGGAGTTGGAGGTCCTGGACATGCAGGTCACATCTTCCAAGAGTCAGGTTAACTTGTTCAAGCTCAAGGTCATGATCCAGACCCAGAGGCCATCCCTCACTCCTCACTAGACACTTCATGCTGCACCCTCCACATGGCACACTCCACATAGCACAATCGTTACTCCACCCTTCACAAGGCACAGTCCATACTGTATACAACTCACCCCACACCCCTCACCAGAGGATCAGAGGAGCCATCCTGAAAATGCCGCATGTTGCCCTGAAGCAAGCCGGTGAATAGCTGGACCTTATGCGCCACTCATTAGAGACGGGATGTGTCAGGGCCAGCCTGACAGGGTTGAGCCGGGCTGAGGCAGGGAGGTGGGAATTGAGAAAAGAAAGAAAGACAGGAAAGCGGGGTCGGGAGGACCCCAGTTCTCTTGATGAACTGAAGCAACTTTATTAGCCACACAACACTATTTATACATAACACACTGAATAGGAGGTCTATCAAGAGGAATGTATTTTTTGTG